GGGATTAGGCAGTGGGGAAGCACTTGCCTGGGGGATGTTCCTCTCTGACCTCTCACATCAGCCCCTGGAAGGAAGAACCAGCCCCTGTGCCAAACTTGTCAACCCTGCTCCTGCTGCCTGCTGCTGGCATCTGTGTCCCTGAGATCATGGCTCAGGCTCCTCCACCACCTTTCCTTGCTGGCTCTTGTCATCCCCATCTTCCATGGGGTTATTCCCAAGGGACAGCCACAGGGGCCATCCTGTCAATAGCAATGGGGACATCCGTCCTGCTGCTTCAGATCATCTAGGTTCAGAAACCCCAGCCCTGCTCACCCCATACATGGTTTCAGGGTTTAACCTGTGTTAAAGGTGCTGGCTGGCTCGAAACCATCTTATTTCTGTCCATCAAGGACCTCCCCCTTCCCCATCCAAAAGGCAGGACAGGTTGGCAGGGGTGCTGGGGTGAGGGGGGGTATGCCAGTGAGTCCCTAGGGCAGCCATGCCAGCGTGGGCCTGGCACAGGGTGCTCTGGCCCCTCATCTCTCAGCCAGCAGCCAAATGCAGATATTGGGAAGAGGAACTTGATTAATTCCCCCTTCGCTTCCTCTGCTCTCCCCATAGCCCTGCCACCCTCGTTAGTTTCCAGGCGAGGATTTTGGCTGGGATTCACTAGCGCTGTCCTTGTGTGACCACATCTGCACTGCTCCTTGCCCTCCATCCCAGCCTCCTGCTGGTCCCCGCTGCGAGGGAGGAAGGAGCGTGAGCAGGGCACACACCCCATGATGCTCGGTGGCACCTTCCTCCAGAGCAGCTGGTGGCTCAGGGACATGCAGCAAGGGCTTCCCTGGACACATCCTGGGAGCTGTGGTGCAGGGACAGACATATCAACTTCTGCTGAGAGTATTTTCCATCTTGTCCTCATTTCTTCCCATCCTTTACTTTGCTGCAGTGCTGCATGGTGCAGCTCTGGGACTGGCATTTTCTCCCCTGGAATGCCATTGCCCAGGAGTAAAATGCCAGGATGGTGGTTCTGGTTAAAGTGGGTGAGTGGATCCAACACCTTCCCATGCTCCCCCCAGACTTGCCAAGGGCCAGATCTCTTGGGCTTCTTTTCCCCAGAGTGGATTCTCTATTTCCTTTCACCCCAAGGCACGTCAGCCTGCAGCCCCCCAGTCTTGGCTGCCAGGCTGGAGTCTCCTGGTGTATCACTTTGCCCTTTAAGTGCTGGGAAGATGCACAGTGAAACAGACTCCCCTCGGAGGGCTCAGACACAGGAAAATCTCCATGGGCTGGGAAGGATAACATGGGAGGAAGCTTTCCAGAATACCTGCTGCTCTTCCCAATCCCTGCTCTCCTCAAGTGTTATCTCCCTGGCAGTGCTCTGCAGGGAGCTGGCACAGTCTCTGCCCACACCAGCCTCCAGCAAAGTGTCCCCAGGGTGTCCCTGTGTCCCTGCTGGGGGTTACAGAGCTCCAGGCCCTTGACAGACCCTGGTGCACCACCAGCACGGAGGAGATGTGGCTGGGAATTTCAACTACTATTGCTCGTCTGTGCCTGGGTGAGCCTCCCACTGTGGTGGGAGCTGGGGAGGCAGCATGGGCTGGGACACCTGGGCAGGCTCTGCCTGCACTGCCCAAAGGCAGCCTAGTTGTCCCTTCAACCCAGAGAGGCAGCTGGTGGCCCCAGGGCCACTTCGCACGGGTGTGCCAACAGCTAAGACCTCTTAAAGCTGCTGGATTGGCTATTTGGAGCTGAAAGGGTTCCAAGGCCTCTCCCAGGACTCTAGCATGGCTTCTCAAGAGGCATCACTTCAGGATGCAAGAGTTGTGTAAATGAAAAGGAACAGCCTCATTTCATTAAGAGGCTGAAGAACTGGCAGCTTTGGGCATTCTGTCAAGTTCAAAGATCTCTGCCAGCACCTGAATTCGATAAGTCACGTGTTTGGGCTGCTGGCAGTGTGCTGAGAAGCCAGGGGTGAGATAAAGGAGACATAACTGAGCTGGCACCAAGGAAACTCCTGCAGGGAGGAGACAAGGATCTTTCTGTTGCTACCCCAGCTGTCTACACTATCCCAGAAGGCACAGCAGCACAGACTTGGAATTGGACTCAGTGATCCTTGTGGGTCCCTTCCAAATCAGGATATTCTGTGACTCTGTCAGACCATCCTCAGCATACAAAGGCCACAGGGAGACAGGTCTTCTCCTAAGAATCTACACTTTTCCCTCTTCCGAGAGCAAGGGAAAGTTAAAAATTGATCTAACCCACTGCTTTAGAGAAGTTGGAACAGGGCAGTGTACTGCAGGTTGCTCCAGAGGCTGTCCAGTAGTCAGAGCCCTCTGCAGCCCAAAATCCAGACTGATTTTCAATGCCTGAGGTAGGAAAGAGGGAGAAAATTCCTGCTGAGAGCAGGCGAAAGGTGCAATGCTGCAGACGCAATCTCCTATGGAGTGACTGCAGGCACCCAGATTGCCCTGCTGATGCAAATTACCAGTTATGAAATGGAGAAATTTGTTAATTATTTCCCTTTTCATCTATTTATTATGAGTTTCTTTTTTATTGCTAATTATTACTTTCAATACAGCACTAAGTAGGATGGAGGTTTCTCCTCTCTGATGATGGCTTGGTGGCTCTTGAAATAAATCTTAAAGAATTGCGTTTTCTCAGTATTTTCTGTCTGCCTTTCCCTATCATTCTGTTTTCTCAGTTTTTCTTGTATTTATGGGGTCTGACTTTTTAAAGCACCCTGCATTTCTGTTTACTGCATGGATTCTTCTCTCCCCAAATTGAATGCAATCAGGTCACTGTTCCCTAGGCAACCACCAACAAAATTATAGAGCTATGATCAAGAATTAACATCTTAAGAAAGTTAAAAAAAATAAAATGGTAATTGCAAGACTTCATAAATCTGCTGAACCAAGGTATTCCCAGCTGAGCCACTGGTCACTGTGGAGGGCTTGGGGACAATGACCTTAATTCAGGAATTAGGGGGACCAAAACACCAGCCTGCCTGTTAAGGTAAATTCAAACCTCATAAAGGGCTGCTTCTTTTCCGTCAAAATTCTGCGGGGATGCTTCGATTAACACAGGAATTGAGGCTGTACCTGTATGGGATGTGGGAAGAGCTGCAACTGAAGTGGTTGTGCAGGGGGCTGGCAGTGGAGGTGAAGCAATTCAGTGTTCTGCTGCAATGCCAGGGGAAATTACAGAGTGATTGTGGAGTACAGTGTCCTGATGACCACGGTGGGCAGGAATGGAAGAATCCCTCCAGCCTGGCCTGTCGCTCCTGACAGTGTCCAGGTGCTTCAAAAAAATTCCAGCAACAGGCTGCAGAAACCAATTTAAACACATGCTAAGCTTCCCAGTCATTTGGCAGAGTTCTGACTTTGCTGGGACTTCTTGTGTGCTTAGCGAAGAAACATTGGAAGAGTTAGGAACATGCCCTGGCGATTGGAACGTTTGAGAAGGGGTGACCAGCCTGCAGCAGGATGAGATCTGTGCAGGACACCCTATCTGGAGATGCTTCTTCCAAGCTCTGCAGCCCCATGGTGTGCTCAGTCCATACCCCAGGTGTTATTTCATGCTGCCTTCCACCACTGCTCCACCTTCCACCATCGGCACACAGAGCTCACTCCTGCTTCATGCTAGGCTTTGGTGGGAGCAGCTGCTCTATTCAGCTCTTCATGCAATAAGCAGTCGCCTTCCAGATTCGCTTTGCTCCTGCTTGCGCCCAACGGCTGGTGTTCCATGGCTCACTGGGATGGACTTTGAAAAATATCTTTATGTGTGAGATGTTCTGTGGGACAAGAACCAGGTCCCTACTGCGCCCACCTCACCTGCTTCTGCTACCCCTTGCTGTGGGGGCTCAGGGGCCAGGCACCTTCCCCAAGCAAACCCTGGCCTCAGCCCACCTGATGGGAAAGGTTTAAGTCCACATACACCTCTTTTATGGAAATAGTGCCTGCCTGAGGTGTAGAATATATGCAAGGGATGGGATACACAGGTGAATATGCTGACTACACAGCCCTGTGCCACACACTAACTCCTGCACTTCATTAGCTGTGAGCGCCTGTTCCACTGTCCCAGGATCCTTTCTGAGTAATTTTCTGATGTCTTTTATGAAGTAATATGAAAACACTCAGCCCCAGGGAGCGCAGCCTGAGGGGATCCCGAGGTTCCGCCGGCCCCCACCGGGGCGGCCTGAACAGCCGTGTCCCTGCCCGGCCGGGCCGCGGGGAGCCCATGGGACCGTCGTGAGCCCCGGTGCCCCCTCACAGCCCTGGTGTCCCTTCAGATCGCCGGTGTCCCCTCAGAAGCCCTCCTGTCCCCTCAGATCCCTGGTGTTCCCTCACAGCGCCCGTGCCCCCTCAGAAGCCCTCCTGTCCCCTCAGATCCCTAGTGGTCCCTCACAGCCCCGGTGCCCCCTTAGAGACCCCGCGTCCCCTCAGGCCCCCGACCCGCCATGGCAGCGCCGCTGTCCCGCCAGGCCGAGGCGCGGCGCATGCGCGGTGTCGGCGGGCTCGGTTGTGCGGAGGGGCCATGTCGGGCCGGAGGGAGCGCGGGCGGCGCGGGACGGGGGCAGGAACAGGGACGCGGACAGGGACACAGACCCCGGAGCGGCCGTGGGCGGGGGCGTCCAGCGGCTCCCCAAGGTGCTGGGGGCGGAGGGAGAGGAGCGGTGGAAGCGAGGCGGCGGACGGGCTTTGACGCTGTCCGTGTCCCGCAGGCGCAACCGGTTCTGCCCGCAGTGCGGGCTCGCCGTGGAGCCCGAGTTCCGCTTCTGCCCGGCCTGCGGCGGGAGGCTGCCCGCGCCGCCCGAGGAACACACCGAGCCCGCAGCGCCGATCCCCAACCCGTCGCCGGTCCCCAGCCCATCGCCGGTCCCCAGCCCATCGCCGGTCCCCAGCCCGTCGCCAGTCTTCAGCCCCCCCGCCTCCCTGTCCCCGCGGGCGGCCGCGGCCCGGCTGGGGCCCCGCTCGCCCCGCAAGTCTCGACCCGGCCCGGCCGCGCCGCTCCCGGCGGACACGGTGCTGACGGACCAGGGAGGGCGGCGGTGGAGGCTGGTGCGGCTGCTGGAACAGGGCAGCTGCGGGCTGGTGTACGAAGGTACTGCGGACCCCGGGGAGGGGGGCCGGGAGGCGAGGGGCGGGGGTCCCTGGATTTGGTTTCGGCGACAGCGGTCGGGACATCCCAAAAGCACCAGAGCCTGCGGAGTGGGTGACACCGCGGCGTCCGCCCGGCTGGCAGTGACCCGCAGGCTTGCAGGATCTGTCATTCCTACGATATTCTGAGCTGGAAGGGATCCACAAGTAACTTGGGGTCCAGCCCCTGTCCCTGCACAGACACCCTAACAGTCCCACCCTGTGCATTCCTGGCAGCGCTGCCCAAACACTCCTGGAGCTCTGGCAGCCTCGGGGCCGTGCCCATTCCCTGGGGAGCCTGGGCAGTGCCCAGCACCGTCTGGGGGAAGAACCTTTCCTGATATCCAACCTAAACCTCCCCTGGCACAGCTCCAGCAGTTCCTCACTGGGCACTGCCTGTCAGCCACTCTGCCACCAGCATAATATCAAGCCGAGGCTAGGATGTTCTGTTATTATGAAATGCTCATTGTTGGGGCCACACTTCCTGTTTCTGTTCTTTTAGGTCCAATAACAATTTGCTGGCACTGTACAGGAGTTTCCTGTGTTGTAAGTGGTGTCAATACCCACACTAAATGTCAATTCTCATCCTGTTTTGGGGCCAAAGAAAGCAACTACACCACATAGGCTGCATCTCAGCCATTTAGTAAGTGCTGATCTTTTCAGTCTAGTTGTAAACATCCGAAGGGGAGTCTTTGATCTTACCCTTTCTTGTTAATTTGGAAACTGTCCAGGAGGAGTCTTTTCCATTACCAGGTTTTGAGAAATATTTGGCTTTGCTTTCTACTTCATTATTCAAGCTGTTGCATAACAAAGTCTGAGCATCCATCTATATTTTTTTAAAAAATGAGATAAAAAGGAAAATCAGTAGTGGAGGGTGCTTTTATAGAAATAGGTTTTAGGTGACGGGCAGCAGGTAACCTGTGAATTGCACTTGGTCTAAGAGCAAGAGAAGAGGAACTGCCTTGAGACCAAGTCATGGGTGCAAATCCTTTTGGAGAAGAGAAGCCACATACAACTATAACATCCATACAGAGCAGAGCGACTTGGCATCCCTTACAGATTTGTCAAACCATGGAGTGAGCTGGAGGGAGTGCTCAACAAATGAATTTGAGGATGCCTTGAGATTCTACTAATGATCTGTTCTTTACATACCCCTCAAAGCCCCCCCATACTGTAGCCATGCCCAGATGCTTCTTAAGCTGACTTAAGCAGAACTGCACTTGCAGCATGTCAGGGTGCTGAGCTCCTGGAGCAAGGTAAGAATTATTTTGTAGTGATCTGGGAAGGTGCTGTCACAGAGGCTGCTTTGCAAAGCTCAAGGGAAAGAAGCAGAGGATGAGTTAATCCAGCTGCACAGGCTGCATTTAATGATGCACAACCTCTTCCATGCTCCTGTAACCACCTTTGTTCCATCCTTCCACAGCGCAGTCAGCATCTGGAACCTGTCCTCAAAAGCAAAGCTACTCCCTCAAACTTGTGAGTTTTGATATGTTTGGGTAAGGAATAGTGCATAGAGTACTGTGTCCTGACCTGTTGGCTGAGGGTATCCGAGGAATTGGAGAGTGGTCAGAGAGGCCCCTGCTAACTTAGGAGATGGATCTAACCTCCTGAGGGTGTTGTGCTGGGATTTCAATTGGCTTTTCTGCTAAAGGTGTGAAGAAAATGGATATCAAGATTAAAAAAACCCTGAAGCCTTAATCACAGAAGGCTGCTGCTTTGATTTACCAGGCTCAGGAACCTGCAGAACTGAACTTGGTGGTGTGAGGTGGAGATCTTGATTCAGGAATGTCAGACCAACTTTTCTCCTCTCTGGCAGGCGTGCACACACCCTGCTGAAGTCTGGGGAAACTGGAGAGGTTGGGATTTGGTGCTGTGCTGAGGCTGTGTGAAAACCAGCATGGAGACACTGTGTAAAGCTAGAGCACACTTTGAAATCAAATAGGAATTACAGTTGGAGTTCCAAGCCAGCTTTCCAGCTTTTTTTGTCAATATATTGGGTTCTCCAGAAATGTGTTTTTCCAGTAACAGCTGTTCTGTGGTGTAAATTCAGTCAATTGATTTTCATTACCTCACAAACCAGAAATGAAAGACTGTTTTCTTGTCTGCTGTGGCTCTTGGGGGTTGCTGGTCTGTAGGAGGACCAGTGCTCACTGATGGCTCTATGAGGTTCTTAAAGGCACTTGGATAATCCCTCTGCCTTTGGTCAGAGGAGACATGTGAGAGGATGGAGAAGGAATACAGTGGATGAGAAAAATCTGCTAAGTGCCACAAAACTAGAACCAGTAGGTGGGAAACTGTAATAACTTCTGTAGGCAACACTCCCAGCTTCTCTGTTTTGAACCTTTTGGCTGCTTGGTGATCTGCTGAGCACCGTGGAGTGTAATATGGCACATGAGAGCATTTTGGCTCTGGGGTTTGATGGCTCACGTGGGCTCATAGGCAAAATGCAGAATGAAATACCCTCTGGGACACGGTCTGTGTTGTCTGCAGCCTGCTGTTCTCCAGCTGTCTATGAGACCAGTTTTGTATTAAACCAGGTAGAATATAACACTGCTGCTTTCTCCCCAGCACGATAGCAGCTGTCCTGAATTAGTGTTGAATCGATAGTGTGTAGGCAAACAGAGACATACTGAGTGTGAACGTGCAGTTGAGGTCACTGGATGACAGCAATACCTCAAATGTTACCAATACAGACTTTGTTGTCTCACTTTCTGACAGCTAGAGTAAATGTTACAGCTCTCTGTTGAGACTTTGTTTGTAGAAATGCCCTCATCCTTGTTGTGGCTAAGAAGGTCACCTCTGGCTCCCTTTAATGTAAGAGCTGTGGGACCAGAGCTCTTTCCATGCTGTGCCTGGGCTGCACTGCCTGGCTGTTGTTAACCCTCGGACAGCTGTAAATGAGCTGCTGGAAAGGCCCAACCTAAGAACCTCTCCTGTTCTGTGCTGATTCTCAAAGTTATGTGGTTGTTAGGGACGGTATTAAATAGGGAACCAAAACACCTTAGCTCTGCTCTCAGTTCTGTTAGTTGATCTTTGCTTTCTTTAAAATTAGTAGTGAAGGTCTTTTAGCAGTCTTACCCAAGTTTCCCCTTGCAGCAGGATGTGTGTGGCAGAAGTAACGCTCCTCCCTGTTCCCTTTAGGATGCCAGAGATGGAAGGATCTACAATGAACAGAATTTCTTCCAGCGAGCTGCAAAAGCAGGCACAGGTTGGTGCTTCTTGGGAGGACAAGGACTAAGGATAACTGGCATTCCTCTCCCATCAGCTGTGTGAATCTCTTGGAAGGCCTGGCTAGGATAAATGAATTCCCTGCTCGGTCAGTGCCTGTTCTCTCAGCAGTCTGTGTGCTGTAGGACAGTGCAGTATGAGCACAGCTGTCTTGTGCTCCTCACTCTGTCAATGATTTGTCTGGGAGCTGTCCAGCCCTGCAGCCTGACTCACCTTGGCTCACCTGTCCGTCTTTCATGGGTGGTTCTGTCAGCTGCTCTCTTGTATTGACCATTGAGCCCAAAACTTCAGCAAGAACAAAGCTGCCCAGAGAATGTAGACAGGAGGGATGGAAGAATTTATGTCAAATCTACACTTCAGAGAGAAGTGTAAAAACCTCCTTGTCCCTCTCCGTCTCTCCCTGCTCCTTGCTTTCCCCAGCCCTGTAGCAATTCCATGTCATAGCCTGCTCTGGTATTTCCAGAATCTTCCCTGCTCCATTCTTGTTCTACAGTGCTATATGCATTGACATGCCAATACACACAATCAGACTGGAGTTCTGGGGACAGTCACAATGAGAGGCCACTCTCAGCTGTCCAGGGCAGAGCAGACCTTCAGAGGAGGAGCGTCTCTAACTCCTTCCTCCTGGAGCATCTCAGCAGCATTTGCTGCACTGTCCTCTTCTCTTGCAGTGGAGAAGTGGAAGAAGTGGCATTCTGTGCCACTGCTGGGCATCCCCAACTGCGTTGGTTTTGGATTGCATGCAGACAGCTACAGGTGAGGTGACTGAGCTCTAGGGCTCAGTCTGAGCATCTCTGGCTTTCCCTCTCCTTCGCTTGCTGTGTGCTAGTCCTTCTGTCATTGTCCCCTGGGCTCCTGACATTATGCACTGCTCCTATCATTTATTAAATGCATTGCCTCTTATTACTTTTTTCCTTCAGTCCTTGTGTTGCTGGTGAAGTTACTGCTTTTGCTGCTGCTGCCCCTTAGGCTTATATTCTGGTCCTTGACACTTAACACAAAGGGGAGACTCAGGCTGTGTGTCTGCAACACGAGCATACCTGTCTCCTTTATAAGAAGTTTTCTCTTATCAAAAGTCAAGGAAGTGTTTGCCCAGGTCAGCTTGAAGTGTGGTCCAATGGATGTGACAAGTGTCTGTTGCAGGGTCTTTTCTCCTGCAGGTTTTTGGTGTTCTCTGACTTGGGGCGATCTCTTCAGTCAGTCCTGAGTGATGGCCTGCACCTGCTGAGGGAGAAGGCAGCTTTTCAGATTGCAGTTCGTGTGGTATGTGGAGAAGTAGTCCTTCCCAAGAGATTTTTTCAGAAAAGACTTCTAACTTCCTTCTGGATCTCCCAGAGGTGTTTTAAAGCCGCTCCAGGGGCTGGGGTGGGGTGGGGTCTCTAAGTTGCATCTTTCAAGCCTACTGTAAATTTTAGTAGCATCTTTTGAGCACTGTGTCACTTTGAAGGAATTTGGGATAAGAAGAATAAGAAAAACCTGACCTTTGAACTTGGAGGCTGTGAGATGTGGTGTTTTTAGTGCTCCTCTGCATGGCTGCAGGAAGCTGGGGAAGGTCCAGATTGGTGATAGCCAGGGTGCTGCAGGAGCCTGCATGGATTTGATATGCTCCCCCTGTTTAATCCCAGCTAGACTGCCTGGAGTACGTTCATGAGAATGAGTATGTGCATGGGGACATCACTGCTGAGAACATCTATTTGAACCCAGCAGACCTCACACAGGTAGGGAGCGGGAGCCATACTGCCTGGAAAGGGCGCTGGAGGTGGGATTGTGACATGGGATAAGACAGCCTCTAGGTCCCTGTCTTTGGCTGGGCAGTGCTCAAGCAGGGGCTGTGGGGCAGCACTCGGGACTGCTCTGCACGCCGGTGGGTGCTCTGTGCTGCCCTGCAGGTGACCCTCGCTGGCTATGGCTTCGCATTCCGGTACTGCCCTGGAGGGAAGCACGTCGCTCAGCGTGAGGGCAGCAGGACCCCTCATGAGGGCAATATGGAGTTCATCAGCCTGGACTGCCACAAGGGCACAGGTAGGGGTCTGGGTTTGTGACACTTGCTGGAGCTGCTCCTGTGGTGGCGTTCCCGGGAGCTGGGGCTCCCCACTGGCGTTGCTGGCACTGCTGCTTTCCAGGCGTTCACATGCACCAGGAACCAGGTTCCTATTTGGGCTGTTCATTCCTGCCTCCTGATGGCTGCTGTGTTGGGACTTGCCAGGTCACTCAGTGATTGCAGCAGGGATGTTCTTGCTCCATCTGGAACTTGGCTGCTGCAAGTGTGTGGGGAATAGAAAACAGGGCCCTTTGGGCTGGCTTAGCAGGGATCTGTTTCAAGCCACGCTGGATCCCTGCCCAAAACAGATTTGCAGCAGGCTCTGCTCTGACCTTGAAGCAATGAGAGCTGGAAAGGCATTTAAATAATAGAATCACTTTGGTTGGAAAAGACCTTTAAGATCATTGAGTCCAGCTGTAAATCCAACACTGCCAAGGTCACCACTAACCCAAGTTTCCAAGTACCACATCTACATGACTTCTAAATACCTCCAGGGATGGGGACTCCATGCTGTCCTGGGCAGCCTATGCCAAATCGTGTCCTTCTCCTGGTTGGGATGTGACTGCTCTTTCACAGTGTTCAGGAAATCTTCCTCCAGAGTCTGGGAGGTGATTCCTGAATTATGTGAGTTAGCAGGCTCCCAGGAGTATTGATAGCCCAGAGCACATCCTCATGAAGCTCTTGGATTTCTTTACTTCTGCCCTTTCATGAATGACATGTGAGTGTCTCGTGCATCCCATCAGGACCATCTCGACGGAGTGACTTGGAATCTCTGGGCTACTGTCTTCTGAAATGGCTCTGTGGCATTTTGCCTTGGTCTGATGAGCTGGACAAAGTAAAAGCTGTGGTAGAACAGAAAGAAAGGTAGGACAAATCATCTATTCTCCTAGGAAATGCTCAGCAGAAAGCAGCGAGGGGGGTTGTGACTGAAAGCTCCAGGTCACCATACACTGTTGGGATGTGGTAAATCCCACAGCCAAGGCTCAGCCTGGCCCCAGGGTGTTTGGTGCTTCATCCAGAACACGGCCAGCTGAATTCAGCCTTTTGGGGATTTTTTTGGTCTCTGTTGTCAAAGCCAGGTGCTCAGGTGCCTGCTCTGTTGCTTCTCACCTGACAGGACTCTGTGCTGACTATTCCAGGTACAGAAAGAATGTGAGATGCCTTCTCCAGCTGTGCTTCAGGCAGAGATCCATTCCAGGTACAGGCTTGCTCTCAGTGGCAACGGGACTCAGGGATGAAGGACTGACTACCTGAAGCCAGAACTTTCTTTGTGCTGGGGTGCTGTTCCAGAATGGCTTCCAGTGGTGATGGTGACCAAGCATTGCATGAACTGTTTGGCAGGCTGGAAACAAATCCCTTGTTTTCTGTACAGAACGAGGGCTGCTTTCCATGATCTGCTTTCATGAACCTTGCTGAAGGGACAGCTGTACTGGTGGGTTTAGAAATGAAATATCTGTGGCTAGAGATCACTTCCCCATCCATCCCATTTTGTTGCCCAGAGAAGCTGTGGCTGTCCCATGCCTGAAAAGTGTTCAAGGGGTGGAAGGAGATGGGCTTCAAGGTCCCTTCCACCCCAAACCAGTTGGTGAATCTATTTTATTGTATAATTCCATGATTCTTTGAGCTTTGTATTAGCCTTGGCTTGGTTTTCCTCTCTGCAGCTCCCTGGGGGGGTGGGTGAGCTGGCTGCAGGACAAGCAGCCTGAAATGGCCATTTGGCAGCTGGAGTTTCTGTGCTGCTCCAGTGCGAGTCCCTTTCTTTGCAGCTGCCCTGGAGAGCTACCTGGAGCAGGTGATGGCACTGGAGTACGAGGAGAAGCCTGACTATGCAGCCCTGCGGCAGCTCTTTGGGAAGCCCCTGGAAAAGATGAAAGCTTCAGCTTATGACTCCGTGGATGTCCGAGTGGTGCCCTGAGGTGAGTGCTGGGACCTGCTGTGTGTGCCCTGTGCTGCCACACGCAAGTGAGGACAGAGCAGGCTGGGCTGTGACATCGCTCCAGGTGAGACCAGTCCAGTGCTACACAAAGCCAGGCTTAGCCTGTGTTTCCTCAAGTTTTTCTGGGTTAATAAAGCAAAGGCTGAAGGGGGTTGCAGGGCTGTGGAAGTGATAACAAAATGCAGACTCAGACCATCTGGTAATTTTTTCTTTTTTTAAATCTGAAGCTCTGGGCTGTACTTTTTTGCTTCTCTTTCTCAGAAAGCTGCCTCTAGTTCTGGTTTTAGTGCCTCAGCCCTGAGGCACTGGCTCTCAAGCCCAGGTGCTATTTTAGCCATGAGGCACCTCGAAGAATGAGGCTTGATACAGAGCCAGATCTAGGTTTAGTGCAGGGCTGCATCAGCCAAGGCTCTGCATCCAGCAGCAGGAACACAGAGCCAGCTCTCCACCTAATTTCCTCTTGCTGGGAAGGAGTTAAACTGATTCATCTTTCCCTTCTCTGTTTTTTCAGATCAAGGATGAGTTCAGAGCTTTCTGCAGTGAGGCCTTTGCCAGATGTATTTTCACTTTTACCAGTTTTAGAATGAGAGAGGTTTTTATAAAGATTTTTCCTATGTTAATGTGACCCAGTGCTGAAGTCTGAGCTGCTGCTGTACCAAGTTAATGTGAAGACATTCCTGCATGGCAGATCAGGGGAAGCAGTAGCTGGAGAACTGCAGTGGAGCCACCGTGAGCCAGGAAACTAAATCAGGGATTTTATTTTCTCTTTTGAAAAAGAGTGGCAGTATATGGTTTTGTAATAAACTTTGTGGACAAGTACCCAAGGCTGCTGTTGGTTATTTGGCAGATTCAAGGTCTTTCTGGAGCTGCCGTAGAGTTGTGAGGGTGATTTGAGCCCTGTGCTCCATGTGAGATTTATGTAAATAGCCTTCAGGCAGTGCCATTGCAATTTAACCATCAGAACTTGGCTCATAGCTAAACCCTGACCTTATCCCAGCAGTTCTCCAAACCTCAGGCCAGGGGATGAGGAGAAGGAAAACCAGGACCAATTTCTACTAACAAAACAATTTTATAAAAAAAACCAGTCAATAAACACTCACTACACTGTGTGTATCTGAACTGTTGCCAATGCCACAGTAACTTCTGAACAGTCCTGGAGTCCAGTTCCAGTGTTAACTTCAGTGACATCTTTTTGAAGTCTTGTACCTTGGCATTTCAATTCCTATGTGTTCAGGCACAGAAGGATTTTTCAGGTGAGGAAAACATGGCAACGAAAGAGGCAAATAGAGTTTAAACCATGTGAGAGGTAGGTGAGAGAGCAGCTCAGACCTGCAGTGAGCCTTCATTTACCTCTGGGGTTTTTCAATAAAAACCTTGTATCAGTGCAGTAAATGCTGTAGACAAGAAGAGGGGAGCCGAGGGAGACCTGGACAGAGTAAAAAGGCAGCACAACCTCAAAATAGGTCTTTCAAGTGGAAGAATTCAAGCATAGTGTTACATTCAGAAACTTGAGAACCAATGTCAATTCCTTTCATTCATAGTGCCAGGCCTCAGAGGAAGCAAAGGACAGGACAGTTCTGTTACTAAGAGGGATGATAAAACTGGGCTATGAATTTCATAGAGAGAGCAGAAGCTTAGCAGAGGATCAGACAATAAGATACATAAAAAGGCAGCTGTGAAGGGAGGAAATAGCCCAGATGTACAAGATAGACAAGGCTGAAGGGAAGGTATTTTGGAGGTATTTACAATTATTCACTATCACCCCTGTGAAGAGATGACTGCAAGAGAAATACGGTTTTCAGGAATCCTGGAAAAGTTAAAAGCATGAAGAAATCAGAGGCTTAAGAAGCCCAAGTTCAGCCTTTCTTCAGTGTGTTCTGCCATGTTTTTTCTCTTGACTTGCCTCCTGTGCAGGTAATGGGGCTGGCACGGCTCCCTGTTCATGGAATTGCCATGGGGCAGTGCTGAGGTAGGTTTGGGGGGAGCTCCAGGGCTGCCTTCAACAGATGATGTAGGACTGGCAGTGTTGACAGAAGAGTAGCCCGAGCTCCCATCTGGGTTGGGATTCCTTGGGGTGAGATAAGCCCCTGGCAGCTCCCCCTCCCTGTGGGGTGCCCCAGAGCCATCCCACTCCCCGGGCAGACTGTCCTCATCACTAGAGTCCTGGCCACAGTGCTCTGCAGGGTCCAGGTACAGCACTGTAACATCCAGGATTCCACTGGGACTGGTCACTGCAAGATGGGAAAAGAGAAACCTTAGTTTGTCCCAGTCCAGAACCAAGCAGGTACTCAGCACAGAGTCAAGCAGAAAAAAGCCAAGCAAGAGTCAACCTTCTGCCTGCTCACACCTGGAGGGCAAGGCACTAAGTTCACCCTCTACTCACAGTGCATCTTTTCTTCCCTCAGACTATTTGAACAGGTGCAAAGAGCTGTTACAAAATGAGCAGCCAGGCCCAGGGTCAGCAAAACCCAACAGCTAATTAGTGTTTCTAAGACAGTGGCTCATTCATCACATCTGGTGCACTGCAAACAGCCTGACTTTGAAATGCTGAGCAAATACAAAACCCCTCATCATGTTGTGAGGCAGTGCAGAGAAAGAACAGATAGATACCTCTGAGAGAGTTTAACAATTATAACCACGGGGGAAGGGGAAGAGTTTTTCCAACTGGTCTTCAGCTGAAAGTTCAGGCATCTGGTGCCTGAGAAACAGTTTTAAGAAAAAATGAAAAGACAGGTTTAATCCCCTTGGCTGCTTTTTATAAGAATAAACTGCTCACCATCTCCTTCTCGCTCGCCTTCACTTTCTTGATCACCTTCGTAACCAGAGCAGGAATCTAAACTCCAATCGAGGAAGTTGTCCAGCAGACTTTCTTCCTGGGAGGACAGCTCTGCTGTGGGTGTAGTCACAAAGCTGCCTCTGTCATCCTGAATGCTGTCTTCCCTCCTTCTGTAGCAAAACACCCCAGAAATCACATGTTAAAAGCCAAGTCTTTGCTACTCTTTTAATAGGTACGTCAAGATGGTGACAGGAAAATTGTATTTAGGAATGAAACCTCAGGGTACCAGAGAGGAGGAGACGCTCTGGCTGATCTTTAGAGATGCTGACAGCCATGAGTTATACTCACCTTTTAGCTCTCTTTCCAGAGGGAGAGCTGAGAAAAGTCTGAATTTCCACTACATTCCTGTGCAAGGGACTGGGCTCTGGGTCCTCCTGTTTCACACCCAACAATGAGCAGAGCTGGCTGTAGCTCATAACCTAAAATATTAAATAAATAAATTTACAAAAAAATCAAAGCACCTGTAAGAATTAGACCATGAGATTCTTATAAGAACTAAATAGCCAGAAGGACACTATTTTCTAGGAGAAATCTATCCCAGCGAATTCTTCCCAAAGGCACTCAAACATCAGTTAAGATGCAACTCAATTTTTAAACTCTCACTTTATTCACACAGCCTGCCATGGGGCAGTAGCTTTGCTCTGGGTGTCAGCCAGCAGCAGATGCAGCCTCAGTTCACCCACCTGTTCTTTGCCTATTTCTTCATAGCGCTCATCTTCAAATCTCTGTTTCACTGCCATTAGGGACACCTGCCTATAGTCCTTTGGGACATCATCATGGAAGCTGGAAAGAAAGATTAAAAGAAAGATTATCTTAGAATGGATTCTATGAAACAGTATTAAGAAAACATGCCAAGTTAGGTAATTTCCCTCTGTCCCTCAGTGCTGTGCTAAGGGAGTTGGTGTTTCAGCACCTTCATCAGGACACTTGATGGCTTCTGAGCATGTGAGCATCTAATTCCTTTCCTGTCCCTGTTTTCTCTGACTCAGGGCCAGACCAGGTGGCAGAAATAGAACAGCTGTCCCTGAACTGGACCGTAGTGCCTTGTGGCAGGGAGCAAAGCAGTTAACCAAAGGCCACTCCTTCACTGGGAAAGGCTGACTGTACAGGTGCAGCACATTTGCAAGAGCTGCAATCCAAGTACTCACGTGCCCCCCCCCCAAAGAATCCCAAAACCATTACCACTTTTGGTGGAGGCTCAGCACACAGGGCAACAGGTCTTCTTGAGAGAAACCAGTGCACTCAGACAGCTGGCTGGTCCAGGGGTGTGCTGGAGAAGAGAGTACATATACATGTATTGAATTACATACTCATGAAGTGTAGTAGTTCTGTAGTGAGTCAGCATTTTTTTAATAAGATAAGGATCATAATATTTGCAAGCTTATATCTGTCCATAGTTTGTTCAAGTTCTCAAATGGCTTGAAGGATAGGTTTATCTGCCAAACTGATGTTATACCTAAAGACAGGAATCTTCAGTCTCATTTAAAGACAAAGCTTGCATAGTCTGAGCTAATGCTCTAGATGATCACTGCTATTAAGAGGTAAAATAGAATCAGAGAATCATGGAATGGTTTGGGTTGGAAGGGACTTCAAAGCCTATCTCATTCTACCCTCTGCCATGGGCAGGGACACCTTCCACTGTTCAAACCCTGTCCAGCCTGGCCTTGGACACTTCCAGGGATCCAGGGGGAGCCACTGCTTCTCTAGGCACCCTGTGCCAGGGCCTCCTCACCCTCACAGGGAACAATTCCTTCCCAATATCCCATCTAACCCTGTCCTCTGGCTGTGGGAAGCCATTTACCCTTGTCCTGTCTCTCTAGGCCCTTGTAAATAGACTCTGTCCATATCTCCTGTCATCTCCTTTCAGGTACTGGAAGACCACAATTAGGTGTCACCCTGAAGCTTTTCTTCTCCAGGCTGAACAATCCCAATTCTCCCAGCCTTTTCTTATAGCAGAACTGTTCCAGACCTCTAATCATCAGGGTAGCCCAATACAGCCAAACAGGCTGAACTCAGCTCTTCATTCTGAATTCTTATACCTATTCCCCCTCTTCTCCACCCTTCTCTCCATCTCCCCTAGCAAGTGATTGGAACATCTTACCTAAACACAAACTAACACCCAAAACCCCCCCAAAAAATCTCCTTAGAAAGAGAAGGCAGACTGGCACTCTGTTCCTGCAGCTCCACCTGAGGTTAAGATTGGTTACCTTGTCCATGCAACATCTGGGCCAGCAGCAGTGCAGCAGCAGCTAGCTGGGCTGGGGAATACACACTGAGGCTCGTGTTCAGGAGGGACAGCTCACAGATGAAGCTGTAAAGGTGAAGAGTTCTTCTCTCCAGCGAGATGATGCTTGACAGAACTTCTTTGTAATCCAAAATGGTGGGTATCTAGTGCAGAAAGGAGAAGAGAGGTTGGAAATACAAGACCAGCACAAAGTGTTTAAAACAGCTGTTTCCAGGTGCTAGGTTTTTTTTATCTGGGGCTTTTTTGTTTAACTACTCCACTGACATTGAAGCATTCTCCAGTGAGAGAATAAATGACCTACTAAAACTGAAGTTTTAATCTCTACAGAAGGCAGAAGAGGGTTCTGTATCTGCATGCTCAGAGACATGCACAGGCTCCACAGTTGATTGAGAGCACTGACATAAATCCCCAGCTTGTTAGAGAAGAACTGCTACAGCCTGACTTGAACAGCAGCACAAGGGGGGGGGAATAGTCCACATCCACTTTCCAAACTCACCCTTATCTTCCCTTCTAAAGCAGAAATTATCTCGCCCATCATTCTGACTAACTCTTCATATTTGTAGGAGTTGTCTGTAAGCCACACAGCTTCCCGTATTGTCAGCATCTCTTTGCTGATGAAACTGTAATGTCAAAGAATAAGTTAGCCCCAGCAGAAAGGGAATTTGTGCATTTATGACAGATAATTGCACCCACAATGACCAGAGTTAAACAACTTAACAAGATACTTTCCCATGTAGA